TTCCACCCCACCCGGAAAGTTCTAGGGGAAGTTCCGTGGTAAATTGTTGATTTGTGTGGCTGAGCCTCCACCACCACCTTTGTGCACGCTCTTGATTTCCCCTTCTCTGGCCTCAGTTTCACATTCTCAAGGGCCTGGAGCCACAAGTGAGGCCCCAACAGGCTGTCTCCTGCTCAAGTCATTCATCAGACTGCTCTGGGGGCAGAAGCTGTCTAGATTCTCTGCAGGGCAAATGGCCATGGGGAGGGGAGATATCTGAGCTGTGAGGTGGGCATCAGCAGGAGGCTGAAGCTTTTAGTGATCTAGCCTAAGAAACGCACCTTTGGCAAAACTTTTCCTGGGCACCACTGCCTGAATGGTTAAGATGGGAGAGGAGCAGAGAGTGCAGGTGCAGTGGGCACAGGACCCTGCTACTGCCCTACTTGGCAGTGTGTCTACAGAGCCCACCCATGTCTGTGTGCTAATTCCTTGATAAAGTCAGATGTCACCTTCTGGAGCGTTCTCTCTTGGAGCACCCCTTGCCTTTGGCTGTGTTGCTAGCTTGCACTCCTACAATGTTCTTTGGGGGCTTGCTACCTTCAGGATACTCAAGGTCATTACCCTCAGTGACTGCCTACTACCTTGTACCAATCTCGTTGCATTCTTTTTGCAGATTCCTAGTCTCTGAGAATTCAGCTTATTATATTGTAGTAAACTGGGAATAATACCGAAGTACGTGTTTCCATTCATTTCTCCCAGCTTACTATTGACACATTGGATGTTTTTAGGCTTAATGGTAGCATTATGTTTCTGATCTTCTGCACACTGAGGGTAAGAAATCTGCAGAAAGATGACTTGGAATTCCCTGAATCAAAAGGCCAAAGGCTCAGTGTCTTGGATCTGAATGTGATCTAGACTCTTCTATTTTTTGTAGGGGGCAGTTTACATGAGTAAAGCCAATAATCACTCCTAGTTTGTTTGCTTAATACAGGTCTTCCCAGAATGAGCCATGTTAGCACAGTCAGCCCGGGCTACTTCTGGGGATGTGTGCATTTGGACACATGCAAGTGTGGCTGTCTGAAGCCATCACAGTTCTTTGGGCAGAGCCTGGGGCCAGGGCAGGGAAGATGGAGTGTAAAGTAGGTCACTGAGGCAAGCGAGGGGCCACATCCGAGACTCTAGCCAGAGACCAAAGGAAACCACGCCACTCAAGGGCTGCAGGCTTCCTCCTGGGCCTTTCTATTTAAGTGTCAGACAAGGAGCCTGCTGTTCCTGCAGCACACCTATGTCACTCTAATCCAGTTAGACTTCTATTTCTAGGAGCTGTCACAACTTGGATTTTGTTTTCTTTTTTTGAACCTGAAGCTATTTTAAATCTGCATTCAAATGCAAGCAACTGAGTTTGAACTGCTTTCAGGATGCCTGGCAGGGCAGCCATGCCAAGACCTAGCTCCGGGGTGGAGCCAGGAAGTCCGACAGGCCCCTCCAAGGAGGGCGGGAGCTGCCCTCTGGCCCCAGCCTTTGTGGGAAGGTCTGTGAGGCCTACCCCTAGAGAGGAAGTCACTCTTGTGTGGTTTGTCCCCAAGCTGTTAGGCCTGCAATCTGAGGACACAACTGTCTTTTTGTGTTTTATACATTTTATTCATACATTTCTCCAACTTTGAAATGACAAAAGCCCAATTCTATGGTTTCCCATTACACAGCATCCTACAGGTATGTATATTCTACAAAGAATACTATGGTGTTTGTCTTCCTCGCCTGTCACACAAGAGATAACTGACGAGGGGTCCATCACCTTGGACGGTACTGGCAGTGCGCCAGCGTTCTGCTTGTTCTGGCGACAGGGCAAAGGGGTCAGGGTGGGAGGGCGTGTGCTAAGGCATGTGAATAGATACACACAGGAGAAAGAAAAGCGGGACATTTACAAAGAATCCGAACCTTTCCATCTCTTCACCTCGGGGTGTAGAAGGACACCTCCTGCATAAATGCTCTTGTGCGCTAAGGCTTTGCTGTTCTCCGCAAATACTTACAATCGGATATGGTGAAATATACAACAACTGTTAACATTGCTCTCTTTCCATCACGGAGACAATACTTCAAAACCTTTTATAAAAAGGCAATTATACATACAGAAAAAAGAACAAGTTGGCAAAACTTTATGCAAAACAACCCCAGAACTGAGTGAATGGCGCCGCCCCTGCATTGCAATGAAACACGACGCTGTGGTCTCAGCACATGAGGACTGTGTGGCCTTCCATCAGTGACCCTGCTTGCTGCCCTGCAGCGTCCCGCCTGCCTGCACGAGGGCTGTTTCAAGACACAGCTGAGACTGCAAATCAACTCCCCCAATTCTTGGTCTCTTCCAAATGAAAAAAAAAAAAAAAGATGGGGCCATTCACTGTGCAGGAGCACCTTTTTAGACCCCCAAGCAGAACTCCTTCAAAGAGACTGCACTTCCTCTGGGTCCCGGAATGGGCACCCCCAGACCTCTGTTGGGGAGAACACTGGCACAGTCCCTTGGTCACGTGCCAGAGAGAATGGAATGAACACAAGCAGCAGCGAAATTCCAAGGATCTAAGCATACAGATATGGAGTTGTGCTTGGGGCCAGAAAGGAGGGCTCCTGGGTGGTGACACACATCTCTTTCCATTTTCTTTTGCTTGGTCCATTTGCACAGGCTCAAGAGAGTTGATGGAAGGTCAGGTGTGAGGTGGTGGGAGCTGTGGATTTTCTACACCTCTCTCCCCCAAGAGCTAAGACTCCAAGGGGCCGAGAAAAGACCAGATAAAAGAGATGTGGCGTGGTGAACATACTCTTCCTCTCCCTTTCTTCCACTTCCTGGATGGTTGCATGTGACAGCTCAAGTTCACTCACTCATCTGGAAGACCTGAGACTTCCAATAGCTCCAAGTTTAAGGCAAACTGAGAAGAGAGTGTGGGCAAAGCCAATCAGGCATTAGGCCTTCTGGGCACAGTCCTGGAACCAGAGACACCAGAGAGAGGGTAAAACCCTAGGTGTAAAGGGGTAAGAAAAGGAAATGAATGAAATGATTCATGATTAAAGCTTGTAGCCCTTCTGTAAGCTGCACCGAGAAGCAAAATATCTGATAGGAGAATTAATTAGAGGTGTGAAACAAGAGAAAAGCGCTCAGGGACCTTTAACCTATGAAAAGCTGTGTAATCAGCCTCGGCAGCGTAAGCCCTTGTAGAGATGATGGAATTAGGAGGCTGTGTTCAGTTCTGGAAAAACAAGCTCCTCCCCCTCCCCACAATATACACACGTGCGCGCGCACACACACATATTCATGCACACACACATACGCACATTTGATGATAGGGAACAGGAGCGGGAAGGGGGTGAGGGCCGTAAGGGTTTTATTTTGGAATGCGGTTTGCAAAGTGCGTTCTCCTCTTTCCAAGGAGACTGTGTGGGAGGCTTTGTAATTAAGAATTTATGAATCAAGAAATTTTCTTGCTAGCATTGGCAGCATGCTTGCTCTCTTTGCCTCAAGTGAAGAGAATGACCTGAAATGAAGAAAAGGACATCACATCAGTGGAAAACAAGAGTTTGCTGCAGGCTGCCTGGCCTTAAGGCGCAGTGCCCACCCTGGGCATCACCACTGTCCAGTTTCCCCGAGAGTGGCTCAGCTGACTAAACTTTTTCGAGAAATGAACTCAAAGCCCTAGTGAGCAGATAGCTACAAGTGACTAAAAACAACCAACCTCCTTTGCAGCAATGTCAAAAGATCATGGCAGCACCGAGGCCAGGCCCAAAGGGCAGCCCCGGCAGTGCCAGGTGGACTGGGATGTGGGGAAGAGGCGCGTTGGCAGCATCCTTTGTGCAGTGAGGGCCCTGCAACAGCCTCAGATAGATGCCTTTTGAATACAAATAGCAAGAAGTAGGTCACCCATTTCCTTTCCTCTCTGAGCAAAATATTTTAAACCATCTCACCTGACAGGAGATGCAAGTAATTGCATTTTAAAAGGCTACCATATTATCTCAACACTGGAAAACTTCCAGATGGGTTGAGCGACATTTCCCTTTTTAGTCTTAAAATTAAATAAGCTGCATGTGCAAAGAAATGACTACCTTATGATTGGAAAATCAGGTCATTTTTGTTTTCTGTGGGGAGTGGGTTTGGGGTAGGGGAGAGAATGCTCCGAGTATGGTTCAGTTGACTGGTGATAAGATTTAATAATCGAATCATTTGGTCTGGTCCTTAAAAGGAAAAAAAAAGGTTTTGCTGATGGAATGGAAGCAGTAAAGAAGCTTTCTGGCAATTTTCTCTGATTGCTTAGTGGACAATTGTAATAGCAGTAGCAGCGGCAATGTCCTGAAATTACTCTGAATTCAGAAATTGGATTATTTTCTGCTAGGTCATAAAGACACTGCTTTAGAGAAGATGTGTATTGGTGGAATGGAGCAGATGACCTTTTTGAGAAGTCAGCCAGAATGAGTTCTGGGTGCAGGAATTTTGCTATCCGTACCACAGCAAGAACAACGCCTGCCTGTGTGCTTCCGAGGACGCACGAAGCGGTCAAGAAGAAAGAATGAGAGCTACAACACTTCTCAATTTCAGAGCCAGACGTTTCAGCTGGCGTTGCTTTTCTCTTCTTCTGCTTGATCCACCTTTATTAACACAGTGGATGGCTTATGACTGGCATCATCAGCATCTCTGGAGGTTTTGTCTCAAAGGGCAAGTGTGGGGAGGGGCTCCTACCAGAGGGAGCCTCTGTTTCCCATGTATTAGTTGTGTTCTTCTTTGTGCTTCACTAGAGAAGAGGTAGAGTGGGCACTTTAGGACTGAGAAGAGCCCTGATTGCGGTCAGTACCATCACAGGACTGGCTGTCTGGCCTTGACACTGGTTACACTGAAATGAAGCCTGACAACTCTTGCAGTCTCTCTCTCCATCCAAGTGTCTCTGGGTTGGTTGGTCACCTTGCTGGGGGTCCTGACAAGAGCAGCTCATCCGCCACCTTGCTAGTAAGGTGAAGACTCATCTGGTCACTGACAAAGGACGACATCAGAGAAAAAATCAGCATCGTTTAATAAGAGTAGGTGGGAGGGGAGGGTGACACGGTGAAAGGAGTACACAAATGCCTTCTCTGTGTGGTCCGTCAAGAGAGGCTGCTAGCTAAGAACATACCCTGCACACCCTGCCAAGGCACAAAATGATGAGGCCACCTAACAGACAAGAAGCAAACCCGATGCTAGTTTGTCAAGGATCACAGGTTAATAGAACCACTTCACACCCTGATACTCCAATGAAAAACCTCCCACTGACCTCTGGCAGAGTCGTAAGAGCCCCAGTCCGAATCTCCTGGCTTGGAAGAATGTGAGCTCATGGAAGAGTGATGACATGGTTAATGTCTCTAAAGCAGCAAGGGAAGATGATTCTCCTGTGCCAAGGGATACAGCAAGAGGAAGGAGAGACCACAGATGGCCTCCAGGACACTGGTGGCCCTCGGGCTGTTACTGCATTTGTGCAGTAAGGGGGCTGCGCTGGGAGCCAGACAAGGTCTGAGCTGTGCTCTGGCAGAGCATTTTGTTGTCCTGCCAATGGATAGTCACTCCTGGACCTTTGGGGGTTCAGTGAGCATCTAGTGGATTACAAAATCTAAAAGATGATCAGCTTGTAAACCTGAACAAATCTATAATGAAATGAAGGACCCAAAGGCATTTAATTATTGAACACATAAAAGGAAGTATATTTAAAAAAATTGGTCAAACTGTACTGTTAGTTATCATTTTAAATGAATTTACAGGGCTCTTATAGATTATTGTTTTGGGATAATTCAGTTTATAGCAAGTGCCTAAACTGGTTTCTTCATTGCACAGTATATTCTCTTAAAATGGGTGCTTTAAAACAATTACATACATATTAAAAATCCTCATTTCTTTGCTTAATTAAAACGTTAATACTCTCAGACAACACAGATCTGAAATGGTGAAACCAGCAATTCCCCCTCCCACCTTACAACAAATTAAATTGAGACAGAATTACAAACACATTTCACTACATGATTATTATTAATAAAAATCAGTTTCTTTTTTTTTATAAATTGCCCGAAATGCAAGGGATGTGCATAGGTTTACAACTTAGTCATAATAGCATTTTATTCTTATTCCCCTGGGTGTGCCCCGTGAACGGAATGTACTTTGCTGTAGATTACAGATTGCTTGTCCAACACAGACACACTGACAGCATAAACGCTCGCGACTGTCCACATGCATTAAGAGTCAAGACCCAACTTCAAATCTCTAAAAGGTTTACAGGGTGCTTCAAAGAGACAGTATCACATTATCTGGAAGTTACATGAAGGACTTAAAAAAAAAGTACTACTCTAAAAAAAAAAGAGAAAAAAGGCCTTTAAAAATTTATGACTGTTTTGTAATCACTAGACTGATTATTTCAAATAAATAAAGGAAAGAAAGCTATTCCAATCCATAAAATCAGACTCTAAAAAGAATGTAGTGTTCCACCCCCAGTCAAGGTAACAGAATCATTGTTTATTATTATTAAAATAGATTATAGAAAGCAGCATCTATTTTGTGCAGTTTTTAGGGGCCTTGGAAATAAAAAGCTATGATTTCCAAAAATATAACATTCCAAAGGATTGAATAATACATACATTTAAAGATACATTTTATTAAAGTTTAGGAGAACTGATTAAAAAAGATACTGTCTCTTTAAATTAGTGTGTAATTGTTTTTCTCCTCCTATCTATTCGGACATGACAATAATTATAAATGTAGGTCACACTACAACTAGGTAGTCTCTAGGGACCATGACCTGCTGACACAAGGCCGATAACAAAGGCTTTTCCACGTATGAGGCGGCTCCCAGTTTAGCGTCAGGCATCTCGGGAGAGGCCTAATAGACCCAGGAAACCGGGACCCACTGCGGAGCTGTGCACACGAGCTCAACGGCTTCCTCCAGATGTCTGATTGTCTCATCAATTTCATTGTTGATAATTGTGAGATCGAAGTAGTGTGCATATGTTCTCTGTAAGATATCAGACTCCTTCTGCAGACGCTGAAGAGATTCATCCTAAATGGTGAGGGGATGGTGGTAGAGATGGGCATGGGGGAAGGGAAAAGCAAAGAGAAGAGAGAAATCAGCTGGGTTCTTTCTCTTTTCACATTTCTGCTCCTCTCAGCGTCAGAAGCAGTCAGGGCCAAAGCTTGATGTGCTGCATCTGGGCATGAGGCCAAGTCTGCTTTTTGACAGAGGAGACGATTGTCCCTGGGAAGGCAGGGTTATGACTGCCACGGCTCACCATGCAGCAGGGGGCTACACGCCAAACCGAGCAGGCCAGAGGAAACAGACACTTCAGCACACACTCCACCCCACCCAGGCCTTGGTGCCTGCCCCGCTGTCCGAGGGTAGTCGGGGACTGCCTAGTGGGCCCTCCTGTCCCCCTTCCTCTACCGCAGATGGCCTGTCTTGCACTCGCCAGTCACGCGCCCCACCCAGATGCTAAAGTCCCACCCTGCAGCCCTGCCCCAGAGCCCAGCATTTGCACCAAGAAGCCCCTGCCTCTGGACGAAAAATTCAGTTGTATTTTCCCCTTTTCTACTTAGAGGCTCTACATGTTCCAGGAATTCAATTACATATAATGGTTCTCACTCAAGAGCAGCAGATGCCAGAGGCACAGCTTTTGGGATGTTACAAATTATGGATGAAATATGGCCATTTCCCAGATATAGTGGCAACTGGCATCTGTGAGTTCCCTCAAACTGGTCTGCTTTGGAAAGGGCCAAATGTCAGTGCTCATAAGTACTCGCATCTCTTATGGAAAAAACTCCTAAGAAAAAGCCGCGACTGAACTCTAGGGAGCTCTCCTGTGGTGCAGGACTTTCCCTCAACTCCCATCACTTGGTACATATTTTAAGAACTCTCGCCAGGGTGAGCCCATAGTAAGAAGGAATTCAGGGCCCCTAGTCTGTCACTCGAGTCTAGCTTTAGCCTCAGGATGGCAGCTCGTTAAGACAAAGATATCGTAAGAGTCCTCAGAAAGTCTACTTCTGCATCTTCATGGGACAGATCTTGTTATGTTGAACTTTCAATGGACAAGTTAAAATTTGAAACCAGGGAACTTTGTAAGTCAAATTAACCACCCCCTCTCCGCCCAACACTAGTAGGTGAGCCATTGGGCTGAGTCTTAACTATATGTAGATACGATTAAATACCTGCTTATTTGATTAGTATCTTCCTCCCCAACTATAGCATGAGCTTGTCTTATGTGCCCTGTCTTCGCTGTGCCCAGCACTTGCCTTGTACACAGTAAGTGCTTAATAAATGCTACTGAAAGAATGAGTACTTGGTTGATGAACTGGCCATCACAGGATTTGATGAGTGTTAAACTACAATCAAGACACATAGCAAGTCTACTAAGAAATGAGGGCCCACGATGACAGAGGCAGAGCTCCAGAAAGAATAAAAGATGCAGTGCCTTTAGGTCCGTGGGAGCCATGGCAGCCAGTGCTGGCTTAGGCCCTGTTCTCCTCTCTGAGACCCATCTGTTATTTGTAAGAGACCATTCCTGATGAGCCTTGGCCTGTGGGTGCAACTCTCTGCAAAGGGGATCTGCTGTGAAATAATGACACATGCTTGATTTCATCACGGCACCACAGTGGGGATGGACAGATACCAGGGAATCTGGGAACTCCATCTTTTCCATCAGGACGCTCTGAGATGAACATCCTTCCTGTTTTGTCATTTTCCACCAGAATTTCAAAGCAGAATATGGCATGCTTTGGATGTTTGGTGCTAACTCCTACAGTGTAGATAAGACCTCAGTTAATCATCACTGTCTAAGGTCATATCAGCACACTTTCTGCTGGCACTTAAAAGCATAGTATTTTCACTGTGGCCTTACTGTACAATGAATGATGCAAGAGCCCCATTTTAGGAAACATGCATTTACCCAAAGACAGGAGTGCTTCCTACCAGGATGAGAAGGAACAATTCCTACCATGTCACTCTCCGGGCTAGGGGATTCTACTGGGGTGCACAGTCCTGGGCTTCAAAAACGATTAGCAGAGTTTATGATTTGCTCAGAAAGCTGGACTGATGAAAACAGTCAAGAAAACTTATGGCTGAAAGCATCAAATTTTTAATGTCATTCTTGTTACAGGAAAATAAAGCTCCCTCTTAAGGACCTGATAAGATGAAGCTGTATTTGTCAGTTTCTTCCTCTACGACAGCTTGTCTGTGGGCTTGATTTACATGTGAGCAGGGTTTAACTCAGTGAAAACAAAATGCCTTTATTCTAACAGCAAAAGCAGGGATTTATGGGAATAAAATGTCTACGTTCTAAATCTATGCAAGGAAACAAGGCTGTATTTCATCACCTCCTAGCTGGTACTTACAGGCAATTTTCTGCACCATTTTGGCAGCTATGGAAAATCAGTAAAAGGACAGGAAAACAGGCAAAAAACAAAAACAAAAACAAAAAACAGAGCAAAGATGATAATTCAAGAAAAAATACGTGGTACCAAAGATAAAAGCTAACCACAGTGTGGCATTTCAAACATGTTGGTGTACTAAATAAGATGGAAAAGTAGAATTTACAAAGGAATATATGTTTTACAAATGAAATGACAAAAACTAATGACTGAAAATCTGAGCAACATATAAAGGTAAATAAAATATTTAATCTTCCTTAAAGGTACACAAAGCAAAAATTACCATGCCTTGACTTTACTGTCATAAACTTGGGTGAGTTTAGGCCAGTGTTCACTGAATACAAGAGCTTTTGGGTAGTTTCCAGACCCTGCAGAAGCAAGGGTCCTCCAGATATTTTTGTGTAGAAGTCTCCTCCTAAGAATGACTCTACAATAGATAAGCACTGATCTATTATTGAGTGCTTACCAGACACACCATAACTGCCTTCTAATCCTCCCAGCCCCAGAGGGCCTATCAGCCTGGTACTCCATGGGGATGCCAACTCTCAAAGGCACCATTTCTGTGGCAGCAGCTGACCTGAGTTGGCCCAAAAGAGGACAGAGCTCATTTCCAGGTTCGGAAGTCTCTAGGGGCCTGGAGAAACATTCTGCATGGGTTCCACTAAAGAGGCTGGGAGAGGAGCCTGGGCGGCCTGGCAGCCGGGCCAAGGTTATGGATTCTTTATAGCTCTCTTCAGGCAAAGCAATGCTTGACCCAGAGTTTGGCCTGGGGGCAGCTGCTTTTTTAGCACAATCCCTCTCTGGAGTTGAGTGGACTGGCAGCCCTGGAGGGTGGGAGCCACCTGGAAAGCCCCTGCCTTGGTGGGGTGAGGGCTTTTACCCTTGGACTTTAAAAGTAGACCTACTGAATCAGGCCACATGCTGACCCTGCTGGGGACTAAGGCTTGAATGTGCCTAATGACTCTGATCTGGGAAGCCCCACACCTCTCTGTTGCCTAATTCCTGATACAGAAAGAGGACCTCAGACTCTGGAAGTCTTGTGGCCAGTGTCAAGAACAAAGAAGAGCTTCATTTAGTTGGCTTAAGGCGCTGGGGCGTTGGTCTTGAATACACAACACAAATGCAACCTCTTGATGCGGCTGCTTGTTTGGGGAAGAACTGAGTGATTCTTACCTCATTTAAACCTGGAGTAATAGTTGGTGCAGCAATAAAAACAACGAAAGGAGCAAACTCTGCAGTTCTCAGGACCTTCAGTGCCTGTGTAAAAAAAAATAATTGAGACTTAAAAGAAGAAATAACTAATGCAGCTTTCAAGTGAGTCTATAAAAAAATTACATAACTGAAAGAGCTTTTGAATCAAACTTTTGGCAAGGTACTATGAAATTTCCCAGCTTTGTAAGTAACTTATATAAACCCCTTTTCTTCCAAAGGACGGTCAATAGCCATCAGCAAATAAAAGGTGACAAACTGGACATTTTTCTTATGAATTTAATGAATAAATCTAACTTCAGAAAAGTTAACACTGATTATGTTGGCTAATGATCACTGAAACCTGGCCATTAATTGCAGCCTGAATTGTAATTCATAGGAAATGCATTTTGGGGTAGACTTGGGCCAGGAGGCTGGATTCACCACAGATCTAGAGCCCACTTCACCACATTTCAAATTGCAAATTGCTCACAAGGGTAGCACATCCTGGCCCCTGTAACTGTGGGCCTCTGCTCACATTTATGCAGGTCTTCTGAGTTGCCCTGATCAGAAAGGCTCCTGTGGGACTCAGGGGGAAGGGAGACCTTGTCCAGGTCTGGAGTTTAGAGCTGCTAAAGAAGCTGTGTGGCTGTGGATGATTCATAGGCATTCAAGAAAATGTTGCATTCAAGGGAGAGGGACCTCTGAGGTATTTCAGTTCCCTTCGCAGGCATCAAAATCTCTAATTGCTCAAGTTACTAGTTTGCATAGACATACTGCAAAGCTGACATGTGATGCTGTAGGCGTTGATTCTGGTAAGGGATTCCTGCTGCAGCTCTTCCCTTATAAGGAAATGACACTCCTTGGGGTTACAAACTCCCCTCCCTGGAACAAAACCCAACATATAGGCACACAATTCACAAATGAATGACATGTAATTAATCCGTATGTGGCAGGGGTAAATATCTTGCTGCCCTTTATAGGAGAACTTAACATTTCTATTCTGCTTTTCAAATGGCCTCTCAACTGTTTGCCTTTTCCATTCCTCCTTCTTTGGCCTGGTTTACTGCAGTAGCAATTAGACTGGTCGCTCTGCCTCCAGTTTTGCTGTGTTCTTATACTAAAACCTGCCTCTGGAATGATTTTTTGGATATGCAAATCCCACTGAGTTGCTCCTCTGCTGCAAACCCTTCCTTCTTGGCCTTGGGATAAAATGTATTGTCGTTAACATAAATGTCAGATCCCTCCCTCACGGGCTGGCCCATGCTTACCTTGTCAGCCTCTTTCTGCCTCCTCCCTGCTATGCACTGGCCTTGCTGAGTCCCTTTCAGATCCACAAAGGGCATGACTCTTTCTGGCTTCCTGGCCTTTTTTTTTTCTATCCCTCTGCCTGGACCCTCCATCCCCTTGTCCCTGCCCTACTCCCCCTTTGGCTTGCAGAGAGATCCTTAAGTACCTGGCACTGATGTTATGCTCTCTGGCAAGTCCTTTGGAGCTCTGAGCTAAGGCCAGGCCCTCTCCCCTCTGTGTGCTCCTGGTGCCCTGACCTTATGGCCCTGTGGTGCCCATCACACTGCCACACCAGGGCCCGGATACTAGAGGGTAAGCTGCTCCAGGCAGGGGCTGTGTCTTGTTCAGCTGTCTCCCTCGTGCCCAGTATGGCACCTGTCATAAACTGCCTGGATGGTAAAATGACAATGTAAAAGCAGTATGTATAATTTGCACAAAATCTATCTTGCCTTTTGAGGCAGGTTTGACTAAAGGGCACTTGCTTTCATGGCTGAAGGGAATCTTGTGGCCTCTGTGAATACACCAGCTTGGAGGAGGCACACTGGATAATAAAGAATCTGACTTCTTGTTTAGTGCAAGGTTCCCTTTCACTAGGATTGTTTCTGAATTTTAGTGACCCGGGATCTCCTTGTGGGTTAAGAGAGCCTGGCACATTTTTTATATCCATCAAAGTGCTTTAATTGTGAGTCAGATTCTCCTTATGAGAAAGCTCTTCAAACTTGCTTATGTTCATTTTTGAAAGAGGTAATTGACAATTTCTTTGCCAATTCTTTTGTGATTAAGACTTCAGCAAGGAACAAACATCATGAAAAAGTCCATATAAAGCTCAAACGAGCTTAACAGGGATCTTTGCTAAGAAATGTCCTTTTTTCCAATATTATCTTGGGCCTTTTTTTGGTCCTGCCTGTGTTCATAAATCAGGCAACTAAGGGTCAGTTGAGACATAAGGTTTCCTCATTATCCCACACCCACCCACAGGCAGCTTCTGGGCAACTGAGATGGGAAAAATATCCAAATGCACAGGTCCTGACCTGCTTCCATCTTGAAGCTACTCTGAGTGTGAGATGGAAGTTCACACAGCCTAGATGCTGAATGGAGTCCATGGAGGAAGTTGAGAGTGACACCCCAGGTGTGAAATGGTCTTTTCTTTGCTCAGTGACCCCAGCCTGATAACCACCCAATTCTTTGAATATTTTACGTTCTAGCCTGCTATCACATTACAACACCAGAAAACACACTTCTTGGAAAACACGAGCTCCCTGTAGATTACCCTTCTCTGCACTGCATGCAGGCCCCTTAATCAGTCTTTTTCCACAAAGACATGAAGGTCATTCTACACTTAGTGCACAGAACAGTAATGAAGGCCATGCTCATCATGCTGTCGAATGCCTCTTGTATCTAAGAATCAGATTATATTCCTTTAGCAATTAATTGCAAGGAAAGAGCTTGCCTACTTCTACGAGATGAGAATATTGTGATCCATGCCACTCTCCTTTTGTCCTGGTTGCCAGGAAGTTCAGAGGTCAATTTCATGTTGATAACAGTAACTACAGTAGCCTCTGTTGTTAGCATATTTGCTTCCTCCTTTTCATGGCTTTGATGTTTGATTTCTCTCCCATATTATTGTATATTCAAGAATTATAAGATGCCTTGAATCCTGATGGAGATGTTCTCACCTGGGAACCCTTGTATTTCCAGTAGGGTTACCACACACTCCATCAGTTATTCTTGAAGGTCTCTGCCTCTCTACTTTGCACTACGTATGGGTCTCAAGTGGGTGCCGTTTTTGTGCAGTTTCTGCTTGCCTGACCTTCAGGGTCACTTCAGAGACAGGAAATGGAATTGCTTCACAAGGATTTCTCTCCCCCAGGCTGTTAACAGGTGATGGTAAGATATCTCTAAGTCCTCTTTCTTTCTGACTAAGATGAGACACAAATTTATTAATATTTTCAGGCAAATACCCCTTTCTGAATCCCAGAGAGGAGAAGATCACTGGAAATATGTTGTATTCAAACAGCTAGAGCAACATTAATTTAACATTTAAAGTTAATTCTTTAGTTCTCTTTTGTGTAGATAAATTTATTTTATGGCTTAAGTATGGCCACTAATTAAACTCAGGTTCCCATCCTCAAGGAATAAAAACTCATTTGACTAAGTATCTAACATGTAGCTATCTTTAGGACTTAGCTGGCTTGCAAACTTAAAAAGTACATAAGGGCAGGCATCTGAGTCATTTTGTACACCAATCTAAGAGTTTAAGGAAGAGTACAGTGACTCCAGAAGCAATCTTAAGAGAGCCAGTTGATTTCATGAAACAAGTCCTCATTCAGACCCTGGGCCTTGTTTCAAAGTACAGATTTCTAGCAAGACTGCATCTACCCCTTGATGAACACCTTTCCCTCTGTGAGCAAAAGCAAAACCACAAATATTCTGCTACTGTAAACTTTTTAATGCAGCCAGCAGATAAATTAGATTAAAATCTAAAAGTCTAAAACTGTTATGGTAAGTTTTGATTATACACTAGAGCTATTATAGTTTCAGCTTTAGGGACATAGATAGTTTTTTGAGCTATGGCCTTATTTGTGTGGGAAATAAGTTCTGTAGTGTTTCTCAGGTTTGAATGTCTAAATGTTAAAAAAAGTAAAGATTTATATTGTACTACTACATACAGAGTGGGTCAGCTTAAGGCCTCCCCAAGGTTGATTGTTCTAGGATGGTGCAGTGAAAGGAGGTTGGGATTTACTGTAAGAAAACCAAATCCGAACCAACACTGTTTAGGTCTCCACCTCACCTTCAGTGGGCTGTGAAACCTTGGTCAAGTCACACTTGGCTTGGTCATCTCCAAAAATCCATACTGCTATCTCCATCTCAGGGTTACAAGGGTTAGGTAAGGAGGCTAATGCTTGGCCAAACAGAGAGCACTGGAGGAACACAGTCTATTCTTACTATTTTAAAAGAAGCCAACTTAGGAGTTTTCTTATTGGATGTCTTTACCATGGTTTAAAGTTGGACCACAGTGTCTTATCATATAGTATTATCAGACATGTGTTCAGTTTGGCCTGAACTGTCTACAGTAAGTTTAGATGGCACAAAGTCTTAGACAGGAACCAAATGAGCTGGACCGCAGCGTCAGGTGGTCTTGCGCTGGGCCTCATGGAGGGGACGTAGTGTCAGTTGGGGTTGGAGTGAGAGGGTTTTCACAAATGCCACATGGCATTTCTCCCATTATGGACAGTTTCTGATGTACATTGAGGAAGCAATTTCACCCTCACCAGCTTGCCTTCTTATTTGTATTCTTAGCTCCTGGCACAATGCTTGGAATATGGTAAGTGCTTAATCAATAATGGTTGGTGGAATCAAACTGTCTGAGAGAGGGTAATCTAATAGCCTGGGGTGGGGAAAAGGGTGTGGAGAAAAAATAAATGGGAGGAGAGAATGTCCCTGGAGCAATGAGGGTTGGCCTGACAGTAAGTGGGTTGTGGCGGGCATCCTGAAGGCAGGATGCAGGCCTTGCCCAGCCTGGGGGAAAGTGGGCCAAAGGCAGAGAAGCCGGAGGGCAAAGCCCACTTGGGGCAGACCCTGTGGGCATCTGTGGCGACAGTTGGAGTGAGAGCAGGACTGGGCATATGAGAGCCTGGGACCAGGGTGGTCAACCAGACCCCAGACAGGAGCAGGACCTGGGCGATCCCTGTCCCTAGGGCCACAGGCCAGAGAGGCTTAGGTAGAGAACAGCAGGCCCAGGGCCTGCCCTCAGGGGTATGTGGCCCTGAAGGATCACAGTTTGCGAGGCGGTGACGCAGGAAGCAGGAGAGAAGGATGCAGTGAGCTCATCCAGCAGTGAGGGGGAAGTGCCCAGTGCCACGCATACAAGGGACTGCCCTGGATGTGCTGACAAGTGTCTCCCGCCCACCAGTGCAGAGCAATGCATGACTGGGCAAGGGCGCAGGGAGAGCTGGGCGTTGGGCTGGAGCGGGGGTGGCAGTGGAAGCAGCAGCGGCGGTGACGGCAGCGGCAACAGGTAAGGCAGAAAAGCCCTCGAAAGTGGACTTAGGTAATGCAGAGGGGTCTGAGGAGCCCTGCAGCCAGCAAACTGCTAGAGATATTACTACCAGCAGAAAACGACGTTCAGGTGAAGACCAGTGTGGAACCCAAGGAGAGGATGTCGAAGACCAGGACCAGGATTGAGACTTTGCCTCTAGCCACCCCTGGCCAGAAGATTTTTCCAATCCCTAGTAAGGAGGGATTAGTAGTTAAACAAAAATCAATCTGCATTACACATCAAATATTTAGTTCTATACAGGTCCAAGTTGATTGTTAAGGGAATGCTATAGTGTTTACCCGACTGCTGCTTTCCTCCCCAGCCCCTTAACCCGATGTCACGTTCAAGAACCCCATGATGTGCTATGACACAGAGATGGGTGAACCCACTGGCTCTGAGTAGCCGAGCTGGCAGACCCCAGGTCATACAGACCCTGGTCATGCAGGTTCCATCCTCCTCCTGGGGACGGCAAGGGGACCGAATCTCATGCAGGCACCCTTGAACAGGGGTCTTCGTGCCTGGAAGGGCCAGGTAAGCCTCCTGATGAAACAGGGCCTGCGTGAGAGGAGCTGCTCTACCATTTCAGCAGGTGCCTTACTGACCCTATTTATAAGTGATAAGAGACTTCTGGGATAGCTTGGTCTTAGAAATGGAAGGCCTGGGAGTCACATGGGCACCCGCAAGCCTTTCCTGTAACCTGCCCCGATGCCTACTTCCAAATCCTTCCTACTGGGCTTTAAGTCCCACTTCTGCTTGCTTGTCCTCAGACATGAAAAAAGAGCTGGTCAGCATTCTGGATGTAAGGCCTGGGGCTTTCTCTTTTTTCAGTTTAGTAATTCCCATGGCTTCTAGTGTAGGACTTACCTACAAATCATCTAATCATCTCTGCATCTGGCTCTCTGAGTTTTCTCCATATTCTCTGTGTCACTCCCACTTTTTGCTCAGGGTCAGGCATCGTCCCCAGTGGAGAAATGGCAGAGGCTGAGCACCTGGGGTCTCCAGCCCGCTCCAGCTGACATTCCCCCGGGCCCAGTCATGCTTGCTTTCATAAAGCTAGTGCTGTGTTTCAGACCCAGGCCCCAGGATCAGAGTTTCTGGCAGGTGAATAACATAAGATGATGGCAGAGGCTCTGATCATCTAGTGTTAGGTGTACCAAGAGAGGAAAGGTGGCTGCTGTGATCACAAGGTGCTGGAGTCTCATCCTGAGGTCAGATTATTGTAGAATTTCTGGCAGGCACAGATTCAATCAGGTACTGTACTGAGCTTCAGAGTATAAGGACTGTCCTGAGAGAACAGTCTGTGCTTCTGTAATACACAGTGTATGCACACTGAGTCCAGAGATCAGTCAGTTTGCATTCATTAATGATGCCTTTATCAGTGATACTTTGCTGGAGTTTACTAAATTATTATGTGACTCACGGCATTCAGATGGCATGTTTTATTTCAGAAACTGAGCTGAGCATGCAGGCAGGATGACAGGGGCTGGGTGTGGCCAGGCATTACCTGAGGCTCCACGTCCAGTATGGCAATCAGCCCCTGCTCATGGATCTTGCGGATGGTCTCCAGTTTTGTCCCGTACATCGCATCCTCGTGGCTGCCATACTCCAAGTACTCATTGTTAGAGATGTCTTGCATCATTTGGTCATGAGATACAAAGTAATAATTCTTTCCATTTTCTTCATCTTTCTTTGGGGGTCTGGTTGTATCTGCAAAGTCACATGTTAAGAGTGCGTTAAAAAGCCGAGCTGAGGAGCCCACACTCCCAGTGGACTTTCCTCAACTCGATCTCTTCTTAAAAGCTATGGTTTCTTTAGTATATGTCTCATGCCTTGTTCCCACTCCCATTTGATTTGTTGAACTAAGTTCTAGAAATCATATTTATCTGTGCGACATCAGACTATAGTAGTCGGTTAGGTGTTTGGTTTGGTGAATCTTTCAGTGCTTAGATGAGATCTATCACTTCCCTTCCTGGGTCACCCCAGGAGAAGGACACCAAATGACACAAGATGAGCACCATTCACTGTACACCTTAATGCAGTAAGGGGTGAAGCAGAAGGAAAAAACAATTTAAAAAAGCCCCAAGTAACTACATAGGGTTATTTAAGTTTAAATAAACTAAAATTCAATAAAATTAAGGTTTCAGTTCCTCCTTCTCACTAGCCACATTTCAAGGGTTCAATGGCCACCCTGTGCTAATGGCTACTGTACTGGATGGTGCAGATATTGCATGCCGTCATTAGCAGAGAAAACTAGATGTGCTGGTCTATAGCATCTTGCAAAAGGAGAATGTTCGAAAATAGCAAAAGGCATGCCATATTAAAAACACAATGACTTCAGCCAGATGTGGCCATAATAGGGAAGATCTAAACATCAGATGGCAAACTATGGCCTGTGGGCCAAATACAGCCTGTCTGTCTTTGTAAATAAATATTTATTGGGACACAGCCATGCCCATTTGTTTACATTTTGTCTATGGCTGCTTTCATGCTACAGTGGCAGAGTTGAGTCATTGACAGTGACAGAGACCATATGGCCTTCAAAGCCTCAAGGACTAGATTTATTAAAGGACTAGATTTAGTCCTTTACAGAAAAGGTTTGCTGATCCCTGCCCTAAGCGAGTGTGTACTGAATACCTGCTAGTAAGTCCTAGTTCTGTGGGATACTGACATGACGAGTACTCTGCAAACACTTTACAAAATGCTTTTCCAGACAAGCCAGGAACACTGGTCTTACTTTTCTTTCCCCCATCTCCTTCTCCTTCTCCCTCCCTCCCCTTTCTCTTCCTTGTCTCCTCTTTATTTCCTCCCTTCCTCTGTTTCTCTCTTTCCTTCTTCCCTTTCTTCCAGTTTCTTTCCTTCCTTTCAATTCCTCTTTCCCTTCGTGATTCCTTCCTTCCTTCCTTCCTTGAGCAAGGACAAATTTATGCTCCTCTGCTGTGAGCATGGGCCCAAGCCCAGGGGAAACTCATCTTGCTCCTGCCCCACATAGAACATTAGAATTGCCAAGGGCTTATGGACCTCAAAATGTGGATGTTTCCCAGAAAAACCCTTTCTCCAGGCACATGAAAAGCTGAAGAAATGGCATACTGTGTTGATGCCGTACTATCTTGAGGGGGTAAACATATACATATATCCAGGGTCAAATGTTTCAGAGTAGACATGACTGAGGTCAGCAAGGGTGCACTTTAAAACCAAACTAGTTAATTGACCATTTGATGACACGGAAGTTCAATTGTTATGTGAGCAAGAAGAAACTAGATGTTAGCTAAGCTTGCTGTACTCATGATCCACTCATGAGGAGAACTAAAAGAAAATTTCAAAGTGCTTTAGTAGAAAACCCCAGTGGTACTGATTCAAAGAGTACTTGATGAATTTCTTTTTTTGTGTGTAGATCAGACAGACTTCTGGAATGGGGGTAGTCTTATGAAGCCTCATGGCTCTCTGGGCTGTGGAGATAACACTTAACTGGTGTTGACATGGCTTCAGGAAGGCATCCAAAGGCCCTACAGGGTGGAGCCAGTCTTCATATTTTCTCCTGTTGCTCTTAACTCTTTTTCCTTTAGTTCTTCCCACCCCAAACAAAGCTCTTACTGCTAGAAAGCTTTCGGGATTCAAATTTCAAACTTTGGCATCATCACCATAATAACATTATAATTGTAAGATTGCTACTCTTTATCCAGGATCTGCCTAGTGTTTCACATGATCTCAAATGCTCTTTCTATCTGTAGGATTACTTCATTTTATAGTTGAGGGAACAAAGAGGGACAGAGGTTAAGGATTGGATATAGAAAATAAGGGGAATATTACAGATTTAAAATCCTTTCTAACAAGTGACTGATTGCACAACGACTGGGTTTTAGAAGTGATAAAAGCCAACAACTTAGGTACTGATTAAGAAAAATATTATCATATCAAAGAAAACTGCACTGTTCACTAAAACTGATTTTTCTGAAGAATAATTCATCTGGGTAATGTTTATAACATACTCTTGGAAAAATTAGGTTGCAAACAGAAAGGATGAGCCCAATTTTGTTAAAAAACGAGGGGTGGGGAGATTGGTGGAATGGGTGAAAGGGATAAAGAGGTACAAACTTCCAGTTATAAAATAAGTAAGTCATGGAGATGAAAAGTAAAGCGTCTGGAATATAGTCAATAATATTGTGATAACTTTATATGATGATAGATGGTAACTACACTTCTTGTGGTGAGCATTTTGGGATGTATACAACTGTTGAATCACTGTGTTGACATCCAAAACTAATATAATATTGTATGTCAACGATATTTCAATTAAAAATAAAAATTAAACAACAACAGTAACAAATACATATGCTACATATGTCTGCACTAAGAGAAGCCTGGAAGGCTACACAACAAGATATTTATGGCACTATTATTGGGGAGTGAGGTTGGGATTTTTGTTTACTCATTTTCTTCTTTTTTCTTTTTTGGATTTTCCAAACTTCCTTTAATAAACAGTTATTACTGATAATAATCAGAATATCAGAATAAATAAAAAAGTATTAGGTAAAATACACTTAAAAGAGAGAGAGAGACACTGCTTACGTGGAATAGGGTATGCAAACCGGTCTGGGTGCTTTGTGATGAGGGTGTTTTTTATGTGTCTTCTCCCAACACCATGTGCACCTATGACATTTTAAAAAAAAGGAAGTTAAAATGGACAATTGTTAGTAATACTCACAAAATGTTTTGAAGATGAGCATAAGGAAGCCACTTAAACAATGAAACTTACCTAATAAGACTAGTGTTTTCCTTTTGAATGCTGGCAGTTTTACTACTTCTTCATATGTAACAAGATCTAATTGGTCAAACACTAAAACGCAAAGATTTAGAAGAAAGGTAAATTATGGAAGAAATATTTCCTGAATATAAATCCTAATTTTACTGGAAAAACTAAAGTTACAGTAAAACCATGTCCTAAAAAATATGAATCCAATTTACGACATATAGCTTACATGTAATTTAAGGCATACAACCTTTCAGGAGAAAATTTCATTTTTAATCCCATGAAAATGCACTTTAGAACCAGGGGCATCCAAAGATATGTTGAGCACATGCACAAAAGTCCAATTCTCAATGATACTGCATATCTTTTCATGCAGTATCCAGCAAATCACATGAATTCATTCAAAACCACATGCTATTCATAGTTTTGCAATTCTAAGAAATCAGCAATACTAAAAAACAAAGTCTGCAGACAGTGACCAACATGAATATAGCATGAATGCAACCGAAGTTAACCAAGAAAGTGGCCAGCTGGATTATTTTAGGGATGGATGAGAGATGCATGGACAGCTGGTCTTTAACTTCATGGTTCTTTCAACAGAGCTGCTGAAGGTACATGCTAGATTCTTTCAAAGTCAAGTTCTCTAACTGTCATTTCACAAACTTTTGAAATGAGCACCTGACAGGTTTTATTGTAACCTGGCTATCCATTCCATGGAAAGTCTTGCGTATGTAGGTAGGGGAACATGCTTCCCAGGGCCCCAAACTTTGTCCGCCAGTGTGCAGTAAATCCAGATGGACAGAGTGAAGGAAGTGTGAATCAGAGTCTGAGCTTAGAAACCTTTGCAAAAGGGGAGTTTTCTAATCATTACAGACTGAGAAGAGATACTGAAAAAAATATTTTTGGACACTTGCCTCTTAACAAACTATTACAAACACTTTCCCAAGAGGATGACCATTCCTGTTGAAGTTCAAGGTAGTCTAATTCTCATGCACATTTGAGCATTCTCACAAGAAGGCTAAAATCATGTGTTTATTTTTTGGCACAGTAATACCTACATGTGGTCAGGCACACACTGAAGTTCCTTTTTAAAGATTATGGAATAAGGTCTGCATTTTAGGGGGGTTGAAATAAATTAATAAAATTGATTCCATGGAGTAATAAAGGAATCTGGGCTGTTTCAATCAATCATTAAGAGAAGCTTCTACTCTCTGAAACAATATGGCCAAATGCTATTGAATATGAGCTCATTCCTTAACATTTGTGATCTTTCCAGTAGCAAAGAACCTTAAAATGTAAAATGGGATACTCTGGAATGCAATAGATCAGAAACAAACAAACAAACAGAAGTAGCATTTCCAAAATATTAAAAAAAAAAAGAAATACAGTGTGTTAAAATAAGGGTTAGTGCATGTTAATGGGTATTTGTGCATTTTTCTTTTTTGATAACTCAATTCTGTAAAGGATGACTAGAAGTTTTTAAAGCATATTCTCTAGCAACAGCTAAGAACCAAGAAATGTGGTCTCTGTTTGAATGGCAGTCCCACAAAATCAAAATGAACAGAGGTTCTCTGCAATGGGTGAGCTAGCTAGTCATGCTGCCATGGTAATGGAGAGATGAGAGCTGCAAAAATAAAAGATTTGTATACCTATTGCCTTCTGAGTGATCTTTCCAGCAAAAGTATGCTTATAAAGGAGGTGCATCAACAAGCTGATGTATTTTGATATATAAAAATAATCAAGCATCTCACAAGAGCAAGATGACAATGACATAAACTTCCTGAATGGCATTCAAATCCTTTTCCATCTACAGAACCCTAACTCCAATCCTACTGAATTAAGACTTGTCATTTATTTTAAACACATAAGACAAAGTTAGATACCAACAACCAACATTACAAAAACAAATGAACAGATATGTTATACATCAATATCTTAACCAGAAAGGAGTAGCATGAAGAGGTTACTCTGGTCTAGATGAAATCATAGGATTGAGAAACAATAAAAAAGGATTTTTAAAAAATAAGACATACAAGGAATATAAGGAGAACACTTAAAGACTGAACTTTCAAAGGTTTTAATCTGTTTGCTGATTAAAAATAAAAGACTTAATGGAAGGAAACCGTCAAAAACAGAGGCATAGTCACTCAACAGGTTACTTACATGCACAGAGGCCATTGGGAGTAAGACAGCATGAAAAATGGACAGGGGTCATTGAAATATGGCTTTTAATATATTAGTAAAATAAAAGTATAATATGCACAAAAGAAACTTTACCATGCAATATCTAAACATGAGGCAAATAAATCACATCAAGAAACAAACTCATTTTAATTAAAATTCAACAATATCCTTATATAAAAGCCAGTGGTTTTTATATACTAGCATAGAAATATCATCTGGGAACAGTTACAAGAAACCTTTTTCAGGGAGTGTAGGTGTGGAAGCCTTTTGCTTTTTATTTTGTACCTTCCTGTACTTTTTGTAATTTCTACTCACATGTACCTATTACTTTTATTGTTTTTCAAAAAATGTCAACAAGGCAGTGAGATCATGGGTCACTTTTTGTTGTTTTTAGAGTTCTCTGTATTAAACGGAAAAAAGTAATAGCTTTTTAAAGTCACCAGTACTAATTCGTGGTATTAAGCATGATTTAAACACATCTATGAATGGTATTGTAGAAATCCTCTATGTTCATTTGTATGTATGTAAATAGGGTACATCAGGATATTTAAATACCACTGCTCAGGGCTCTAATATTTAAAAAAATGAATTGGTTAGGACTTTGTTTTTTAAAGTTTACATTAGTAACTTGATCTTAAGCTGACTGGATGTCCTAGGGCTGAAGAATCTCAGTGCATCAAGAGTATATAGTTCTTCTAGCAGCATGACAACGATTTTGCATCAAATTTGTGTGGCTAAAAATCGCTTACATGTTGCAAAAAATGTATTTGCTGTAAACACTACACATAGCATGATCAAATCTATTCCCAAGGCTTCAGAAATACTTTATGGCATAGTTTACTGATACTATCCTGATTTCCTGGTAAGCTACTCAATATTCATAACACTTTGAAGTATTTAGGTAACTATTTTTCAGTTGAATCTTTTCCATAAATAAACCTTTAACATTAATTCCTTGTCTCAGTTTGAAAAGCTACATGTATCTTCAAATACTGTAAAACCCTTCAATCAGGAAAGACATTGCATGCTGGCAACACTGGGCTGATGGCGCACTGAAATGCCTGCAGTGACCAGGCAGCTCAGGGGTTTGAGTAAGTGGACGAGGTGCAAGAATGCAGTGCTGGGGATGATGGGTCCTGGGGAACAAAAGTCCATCAAAGGGACATCAACAATCCAGAGTTGCTAAGGGATAAAGTAGATCTCGTGTCACCACAGCTTCTGATGTTTTGAGGGAAGGTAGAAACCCAGATTTTTATGTTAAGTATCTGACTTTCAAATATGTGATAGCTAATTAAAATTATTTTAAACAGTGTGTATGTAGGGAAAACAAAACTTGTTTATGGGCCATATTCAGGTAATAGAATGCTACTTTACAATGTGAGATGTAGGCAACACAGTTTGAATAGAATTCTGCCTTAACTAGACATGCGACACGTGGAATTTCCCGGTGACAGAAATGGAAACAATTCTAGTACTATTGTTGCCATCAGTTTCAGAGATTGACAAAATTCCCATCCTTCATTTTTACTACATATACAAACAACTTCAGAATTGGATAATAAGGTTTGGATCTTGCCATCAATATATGCTGAATTCTCAAAGACTTAAAGCAGGAAACAAAACATGGCCCTTACTTTAATTTACTAAGGACTATGGGAAGATCCCCCACTATATTTTACAATTAACTTCTGAAAAGGCCAGAAAAATCCTTCAGAAATATAGTCTGATTTGTGGCCCATGAAACCATTTGGCTAGATCTTGGTATTAAAGAACATGCTATTTCAAAGTTCTCAAAGCATCTGCCTTACCAACAGAGGTCAACAGTATTGTTTTTCTTTTAGAGTAATTCTTTATATAGGCAATGCCACGTATTAGGATGAACTTTTATGACGGCTAAAAGCAGAACAGTGGATAAAAACACTTGACTTCCCTTTCTTACAAGTTTATCTCCTGTAATCACTAAGCAAATGGTTCCTCTGGACTTTATAATGACCAAAATGGAGGAGCTGGTTGGTGCAGGGAAAGAAACCTGAAGAGAGAGTTACAGAAAGGCCTTGTCAAGCGTCATACTTCCACAAGTCCAGGAAAAGAGCTGGGCCTCTTCTCCTGATCAGGGGAAAGAATAGGCTAGCCTATGAGTGATGCTTTTGTTGGGGAGGGAACTCTAGCAATGACATTCTGATTAGACAGTCATGAAGAAGCCTCAACACAAGTTACACAAAGAAGCTTGTGAGGCCCTGCAAGGACCTTTTAAGAATTAGCTCACGCTGTCAAAGGGCAGGAAAGGAGTGCCTCGTATGCAACTAGTACTGCCGCATAGGAGGAGCCGGAGGCTGATGAGGAAGGCTCTGAGGAGCAGCTCCCCGCTGCTTTGAAGATGCTGAAGGTGACAAAAAAGTGGTGGTGGTGGGTCCCCCCCGGACCCCTGCTCCCCTTTAGTTCCAAGTTTATAAGAACTTGGGGCCATGGTTTTGGGTAAGAGGTGTAACATCAAAAGCCAACAGAAAAAAAAATTCTATTCCATCCCTATGAGGCTCTTGCCTTCTCTGTCAAGGGTGACACCCTTCAAATTTGATAGGCAATGTTTACCCCAGCTAAAGCCTGAGAGAAGGGAGAGTAAATGAGTCCTTGGCTTCATTAAAACACCCGTTTGTTGGGCCCAGGCACAAAAGAACGTGAGATCCACTGAATTTTAGAATTAGAGAAGACATGCTTGACTGAGTAGCCCAGTCCCCTCGTTTTTAGGTCTTCCGCTGAGCCCCGCCTGTGAGCAATCAGAGAACAGGAACATCGCGACATCAGCGATGTTCCGGCCGTCCAAGAACGGAAAAACTGGACTGTGGGATACACTGACTGCCAGATTTGACGCTGATGCTCTGGCAAAATTCTTAAGTGAACAGATTCTTTAAGTGGACGAATTCTTAAGTGGATGGAGTCTTTGTAAGAATGTAGACATTCTAGGTTTTCAACCAATTGGCTTCTTTTTCCTCAGAGCTGAATTAAATAAAGAATGTTGGCACGTTGAATACTTGTGTGTACATGCTCTCCATTAACAGTGGAGTATAAAACTAATGATGGATCAATAGGCTTAATTGGCCATTTCTTTGCTTTTCTAAGTTTAATTTTAATGCCATCTATATATTATTTAAAATTATTGTAAAAATTTATATATAGGTTATATACATAAAATGTCAACATGTCTTGTGAGCCTGTGAGAAGCTGATGGGCATAAAGGTGACTATGGAGACCTGGCAATAATCACTGACATTTTGGATTAAACCACATTCTGCTAAAAGTACAGCGAATTTCTTCAAAGAGTACTACTTGAGCATCTATAATTAACAGTGGCTGAATTATGTTTAACTAATCTGTTTTAAATATTTCTTCCCTTTATAAAACACAAAAAGTCATTATCAGACTAGTGTTCTGTAGTGGTACATAATCAGAAATGATACATTTTATTGGAAATAAAAATGTGGTACAATGTAGCTAATGTGAAGGGAAAGACTCCTCACTTAAACAAACCATTTAAAATGAAATCATTTGGTCCCTTGCAGTCATTCTAAATTATACAGTATTCAAAATGCATACTTTTACTCTCTGATTAAGAATTAAACAATTCAGTTTCTAAATTTTTCCTAGTGAATGCTAACAATATGTTATAACATTGTAGAGAAAGAAATGCATTTCATATTTGTCAGAAACATTATACTGCCAAATTGGGTATGCATGATTGCATTCACTTGATTTTTTTGTCACATGTTTGATTTTTGGGCTTATTTCTGAAACCTTGGGAAGTAACCTAAGGCCAATGTTGGGGCTTGCAATTCCTCAGAAAAAGTTCCTTATAAAAGGAGTCATATTAAGAAGTTATTGAAAATAAGTAAATCCCACTCTCTGTAGCATCATGAATTTTCTTTAAGTTTCATTCTGTGAGTCTTCTGGGAATTCTATGGCAATTGACAGATCATGCTTTTTTTGTATTCATTTCCCTTTTTAGCAAACAAGTGAATACTTTGACTTAAGTTGAATGCAAGCTTCCATACAGAGAAATATACTGTGAAGGGAAGGCCAAGATAATGCTCTTGGTCTTTTAAGATCCAGGAAATATCATGAAGGAAGAAGACTAGGCACAGAAACTGACCAACCCAAGTTAGACTCCAATACCATTTGTGTTCTTTCAAACCAATCAGCAAAGCATTTGCAGCATAGCTCTCTGTTAAGTGTGCACCTTTGCCCTTAGAAATGTGCCACAGGCCATGTCCAAGGGCCAGAGAGGAGCCAGGAGCAAAGGTATTTGCTCAAGATCAATCTCAGCCAGGAGGAAAGAATCCGTGTGACTTAGGAAACTCCCAAGCTTGCACTTCTCAGGGGAGGGCTTAATATACCGGATTCTTTAAGTCCCAGATAATATTATTTCCAAATAGCATTTTCTTCCTAAAAAGGATAGCTCTGTAAAACATCTGGCAAATAACTGACATAAATGAAGGTAAGGGTTTCTTAAAGTTTCTGCAAGCTGATGAAGATCTCATGTGGAATTTTTAGATAGCGAACTCTTAAGACTGAGTTGAGACGTTACATCTATCTTGGTCTTTGGAATGTTTAACCGGCCTCAGTAACAGCTGTACTTTTCCCTACCTGCGTTGTGCTTTGCCAAATATTTATCTTTGTACTGCTTCTTTTTCTTGCCAAACCAAGTACAGCTGGCCTGCTGCTCCTGTTTGGTTTTCTCCATGGCGATGCAAGCTACTCGCCTAGCATACAAATAGAGAGAGAGAGAGAAAATGAATAGTATAGTTTTATGTTAATAAAGAGACAAATTATTTATTTGAAGAGTTTACATGAACTTGCAAGAACATACTCCTCACAAACTTTTAAAATCATTCAGATAAAGGCTGCACCTTGGCTTTCATGACAATTTCCCAGAAATGTTTTAAAAACACAGGCTTATAATAAAATGACACTGTATTCCTTGAGCATACAGTAATGAAAACACAGATGAGAGGCCTGAACATATGGTTATGACACAGTGGATAAGCATGGGATTTTGAGTCGAGACAGGTCTGGCTCGAATCCTGGCTTGATCATTCATACCTTTTATCAATTTAGTGTTAGATGCTTTTCTAGGACATTTACATATATTAACTCTTTAAATCATTCAAACAACACATGAAATTGTGTCACCACTTTACAAATGAGGGGATCAAAGGACTGAGAGGTTAAGTAATTGGTCCCCAATTGCAGAGCTAATAAGTGAGTGAGGGAGGACAGTTGGGCACCAGAGCCCATGCTCTTAGCCAGCATCTTCCATTGGCAAGGTCCTTTACTACATGGTGATTCTAGTCTAAGATAGAAAAAACCATGATGATTAGAATTACAGATTAGAATTACAATTAGAAAATTGTAATTCTGTTCTACCTGGTAGTATTCAGCATCAGGAACATAAGCACAAATGCCATTAAAAAGTTGTTCTCTTAGGCTTAGTCTAAGCAAATACTTGACTTTCAGGATATTGCCACAGGTTTTGCTTACTTAATGATTTTGCTTGTGGGCCAACCAGGGGTCCTCAAGTGAGCCACATATAAGGAGAATCCAAAATCACTATCAGAATGCCATACAATGCTCTTAAAAATGACATTTTCCAATGAGGTTGTCTGATTTATACTCCCACCTGCAGTGTATGAGAGTTCCTGCTGTTTCACTTCTTTGTTAACACTTGGTATTAACAATTTTTATTTTTAGCCACCATGGTGGGCAAGTAATAGATTGACACTGTTCTGAGTTTGCATTTCACTGATTATTAATAAGGTAGAGCATTTTCATATGTTTTGGATATGTTTATTGGCTATTGGATTTCCTGTTTTGTAAAGTGCCTGTTAAGTCTTTTGACCATTTTTCTTTTCAGTTGTCTATCTTTTTCTCATTGGTTTGTATGAATCCTTTATAAGGTTTGGATATTACACTTCAGTTAGTTATACATGTTGCAGATATCTTCCTCCACCTTGTGGCTTTTTTTTTTACCCTTTTTATGGTATATTTTGATGAACATAACAGTTTTAATTTAGTCAAATTTAGTAATCTTTTAAAAATATTTTATTTATTCATTAATTTATTGAAGTACAGTTCATATACAATATTATATTGGTTTCAAGCATACAACATAATGATTCAACAGTTATCTACATTATTAAATGTGCCCAATAAGTATAGTTACTATCTGCCAACATAGAAAGATATTACAGTATTATTGACTATATTCTCTATGCTATAGCAATTTTATCTTTTATGGGAAGTATTTGTGATACCTTGTTTAAGAAATTCTTCTTTGTCCCTGAAGATATTCTCCAATATTACCTTCTCAAGGGCTTATAATTTTTTCTTTTACATTTTGGTTTTTAATACACTGGAACTAATTTTTATATATGGTGTGAAGTTAGAGGCCCAATTTATTTGCTTTTTTCTCCTAATGATACCCAATAGTCCCAGCATGACTTATAGAAAAGTCTGTCCATTCCTCACTAGTGACTATTTACGTATGGGAGTTTGGAGTTCTCTTCAATTGGTCTGTTTGAGAATTTGTAAGTCCATACCTTATTATCTTAATTTATGATAGCTTTATAATAAGTCTTGGTATTAGGTAGAACAAGAACTTCTTCCTTATTCTTCTAGAAGAGCATCTTGGATACAAATCCAAGTTTGTTTTATTTCTTCCTTAATTTTCTTTAATTCTCTTTAAATCTATAGTTTCCTTCTCCTTTCCTCTTTCCCTTTTCTTTTGGCAATTTATTTACTGCAGAAACTAGTTGTCTGGTACTTTTGAAGTCTGGATTTTTCTGATTTGAACCATGTGGTATCTATCGTAAATCCTTCTGTCTTTTGCATTTCCTGCAAATAGGTAATTAGATCTAGAGGCCTGATCAAATTTAACTTCTATTTTATTGCAAGAATGATGTTATATATGGTATTTAAAAAACTTTTTATTTTGTTTGTTGCTGGCAAATAGAAACAATTGATCTTTGCATATTGTTTTTATATACATCAGCCATCTTGCTTAACTCTCATATTAATTCTAATTGTTTATCTATAGATTCCTTTGAATCACTACATAAAGAATCTTATCACCTGCAACGTGGTTTTCCTTTCCAGTAATGTTTGGTGTAGGTTTCCTGTAGATGCTTTTATCATGTTAAGGCAGTTCCCTTCAACTCAGAGTTAGAGTTTGTGAGAGTTAATTACGAGCAGGTGTTGAATTTTACGAAGTGCTTTTTTTGCATCTATTGATATGACCACGTGTATTTCCTTCTTTAGTCTGTTAATATGGTGGGTTGGCTTGGCTGGTTTCAAATGTCAAACCAGCTGTGTATTTTCAGTACAAACTCCACTGGGTCAAGATGTATTATCTTTTATATATATTGCTGGATTCAATTTGCTAATATTTGGCTGAGGCTTTTTACATCAATGTTCATGAGGGATACTGGTCTGTGGTTTCCTTTTCTTGAATTGCTTTTATTGGATTTTGGTATCAGGGTAATGATGGCATCCTGCAGTGAGTTGGGAAGTGTTCTATTTTCTTAAAGAGACTGTCCTCCATGTCTCTCACTCTCCCTTGTTCAGTGAGGGTTTTATTTTTATTTCTTTGCTTATTTTTGGTTAGGAGAAAGATACTCACTGGGAAATACTGTAAACTCTCAGCAAGAGCACCAAAGTCCATCTCCACATATTACCTAAGTTGCATACAGAGATGGCTGATGAAGCCTTTGCTTTGGGGATTCTTCCAGTACAAGCCAGTGTGCTGTTCATAATGACAGGTTCTGTGAGGCATAGGATCTTTGGAACATAAACAAAACTGAGGAATTTTTGACAGGTTGAAAGAGACAAAATCATGACCTTGGGAAGCTTATATTATACAGCATGCAGAGTCTCTTACAACAAATTTTTTTAAGCTGAAAAAAGAAAAATAAAAAGTTCCCAGTAAAGATTTGTGGTGTGGCCGTATGTGATATAATGATAGAGGAAGGAATCTGATTTTTACCAGCCAGTCAGGAAATGAATGTTATTTTTTTTTCTTTTAGCTCAGTAAGTACAGGAGAACTGTTTTAGGATTTAGGTCAACCTGGAGGAAAATTTCAAATATATGTGTAACACTTTATTGCTGACTTGGATGAGGATCTAGAAGGCAAGGGAAGGGATGACAGATTCAGGGACTTGAAACATATCAAAGGACTAGACTGATGTGCCTTGTCAAGCAAGATGACATTTAACAAGGATAAATAAAGTAAGGCATTTGGGTCCAAAAAAACTGATTTCTCTCCTACAGGATGTGAAAAACATGACTTGGTAGCAACACATTTGAATAAAGCTTCTGGGTCTCACTGACAGTATTGCTTCAAATCTTTCTCCCTAATATTCCATGCCCTCTGACAATTCTAGAGGCCAATTCAGTTTTCCAACAAGGGACCCTGCTCTTTCCCTCTAGGCAGGAATACCTTCCTGTACCCACAAAGCCCTACTCAGGGCTCAAGGTACATACTGTCCACTGGGCTTCTTCCTTTCATCCTAGTTAGAATCCCTTTCTCCCTCTATGGTTTTTGCAAATTTACTGAGTTCAGTTTTTTTTTTGCAATAAACGGATCATATTTAAAGTGTACAATTTTATCAGTTTTGACATATGTACAGATTCCATGAAACCATCGCTACAATCAAGATAACAAACATTTTCAACACCCCAGGATTTCCTTATGCCCCTCTGTAATCTCTCCCAGGCAACTACTGCCTGGACTACTCTTTCAGACAACTGCTCTGTCCAGACTACTCTCCAGTAGTGTCTCAGGCAACTACTGCCACTATAGATTAGCTTTGTATTTTCTGGAATTTTATATAAGTGGAATCATACAGTATGTTTTCTTTTTTACCTGAAAACTCAGCATAATGATTTTGAGTTTCATCCATATTGTATCACTAATTCATTCCTTTTTATTGCTTAACAGCATCCCATAGTATGGACAGGCCCTCATTTGTTTAACCATTTATCTACTGATGAAAACATAAAACAAATCTTAGCCCTCCTAACAGGTGTGTGGCCACTGAGGCTTTGTTCCTGCAGCTTCTCGTCTTGGAAGTCCCTTTTGGTTCTTTTTCAAAATCAGCTAGGCCATTCAAACATCTTCCTTCTCTGATGATCTATTTCAAGCTCATTATCTATTTTAAAAAAACCTGCTAATAAGGACAGTTGTTTAAAAATTTTTGTCTCTTAATTTCAGTATATGAAGTGGGGCTGTCTGCCTGTCAGATTTCACATGTTTCCTTGGGTACCTGGTTATTCTGACTCACTGGTCACTGCCCTTGAGAAAGTTTGAGTGGGGATTAGGGAGGGGCTCTAAGGATGAGGATAACAGTGTTCCCCTTCAGAGACTTTTTGTTTAGAAGAGATATTTAGAACTAACAGTAAAGGAGAAACCTCAAATCAAGCACAAGGCTGGAGTTTCCCTGGCTGTCCAGGACTATGTGTCTGTCACTGGGTACAAATTCATTAAAGGTGGACCTGTGGCCATGATTTGTACAGGGGAATCTGTTCTCCTTTTACTCTCATCAGTGTCAAGGCAATCTTCTCTATAGTCCCTTGGTGTTGAAGGGCATGCTTATCTGTTTGCTTTTAACCTGGGGGTACAGCCTGCTGCAGTCCAAACAATGTGGGATGGGTCCTCCAAGAGATTCCACTACTTGTACGGACTTTAGGTCTTAACCATGGTTCTCTGGCAGAGACGTTTTCAGTAATAGAAGTGCCCTCCTGGCAAAATGGGCCTATTTGGTACTCTTAATTTTTCTTGCTCTGATTAATGGCTTTCATATAAAAATTGGTCACCAAGGTCCCCAAAACCTTTCAGCCACTTCATGCTTTTAAGGTAATTTTCAAAAACACATTTTCTGCAGCACTTTTCTTTCTTTTCTTTTTTCAGCAAGAAGATTGATTCAAATAACTTAGCCCACCATTACAGGAAACAGGAAGTAAACATGCTTTTTCCACTGCCATTTCTCGGGATTATCTCCAGAGGACTCAGAGTTCCAGGTATCACTGAAGCATGATTTATGCAGATGACCAGACTAGGGAGAAGAGGTCTGGGATCTACATAATTATTTTCAATAAATACTCATAATATATGGCAACAATTACAAACACACTTTGTAAAGCCTAAATATCAGTTGTAACTTAACAACATCATCATTGAAATGACTTAGAAATCACTTTCCTCCTGCTAATGCTTAAACTATTTCTTGAAGGTCAGACTGAAAGACAATAGCAGATGGAAGGCTGTATCTGGGCCTGTGGGGGCCTGTGACTCTTTGTGGAAATGATGTCAGAGGAAGTTCTATCAGCTCCAACAGTCTAAGTGTAAGAATATTTTTGGGGGACATGGGACAGCGGAAAGGTGATGGAGCAAAAGAAACTGAGAAATCCCTCTCATTAGTGAGAAGAATGGGTCAAGAAACAGTTATAAATGTCTGTGGTCTCAATGCTGTAGGTCTTTTTTTGCTATGGTTTCAAGTATTTTGGGAAGACCTGACAATGCCTAATGGTTATTTTCTGTCATATAAAACAAAACTCAGGCAAAAAGTTATCTCTTCTGCACTGTATTTCTGATATATTGCCAAAGTGCTGACACACCAACGTTTTTCAAAATATAGTTAAATAAGCAAATTGTAATAATAATAGCAGAACTAGATTTTACCAAAATAAACAGAAATCCCTGTTTTCTCTCAGTTAAAAATGGTGTCTGAAAACCGTCTGACTTTAACCTGCTCTCACAGCTTAAGCTGTATAACAGAAAATGCATTTTTAAAGACCTGGCAACATAAAGAATGAAGTTTCTGACTACCTTTTCCTCCTAACAGCGAAGTACATTTTAACTTCAAATACCCTGAGTGACGCTGAATCGTGGCATATGTGTTTTTTGGTGGTGGTGTCGTGGAATGGGGATGGTGAGAGCATGCAGAGGGACCAGGAGGAGGGCCATTTAAAAAGTGCAATTCTAAAAGGATTGAAACAGCATATAGGAGTGGAAGGCTCTGTTAAGAGACCATGATGGGGCTGTGACTGGAGACTACTAGTCGCTCAACCTCTCTCTAGACCTGTCTCACTTAGAAGTAAAATGAAGACCTGACTCTGTAAGTACGAGCTCACTAGATGCTGAGGATTTAGAATTCTTGGATGATTAATATGAATTTTGTTTGGCTAGTAAAGCGAAGGACATATCAAATAGGTTTTACACGATAAAACAAGATAAAGCTGAAAAAATGGATGAGTAGGGCTTCGTTTTTATTATAAAACAAACAAGACAACAAAAACATACCATTCCTGAAGTTCAGGGGAAGGAATGAGACCTGCGGTACCATTTTTGGAGTTTTCCAGTTTACCCTGCCACCAATTGTGATCATCCTTACTAATAATCTGGATAATGTCACCAACTCTGAATCGAATGCCAGCTTCTTTGCAGGGGATGAGATCATCCTTGGCAGGATCATATTCAAATTGTGCTCTTACATAGATCTATAAAACAGGAGTATGTAAGAGAGGATGCCACGGTGATGTGAAAAAAAAAACAGTTTACTCTAACCTAATAACCACACACCAACACTGACAGTACAGACAGGACGTTAGATGGTGAAAGCAAAAATGATGCGTGAAAATACGACACACAAAACTGCTACCACTAGAAACACCGTACAACCTTTGACAGTGCACGGGTTCAAATCTTTGGAGGGAACACTTTAGATACTTGTCTAATAAAAATAAAGACGTAGTTTCTGCTTTTACTATCAAAGAATAGGCCTACAATTATAGAGAAGTATGCTGACCATTTTAAAATCGGCATATATTTAGTTGATGTTATGGATAAGTTGTCACGATCATGTGGTAGCCTTTAAGCCATACACACAAGCATTCAGGGTAGGTTTTAACCCTAAAGCAGCACATGATACAAAATGAGCAAGAACTCCGTGTTGGTATCTTGCTGTAAAATGCCTGCATGACAACTGGCAGTGTGGCTATACACTGCTGATACACATAAATGTAATTCAAACAGTTTTTAAAGCATTTTTTTAAAAACAATTTTTATTTTTTAAAAAGGATTTAGGCTTTATATTTGTGTTTTACTCATCTTAGAGAATAAAAGTGAACCTGAATCCTAGTTTTGCCAATGTAACACCTGAAATTAGCACAGAGCTTCAAGACATGCATAGTTCAAGGCTCTGAGTTTTATGATTGGCAAATATAATTGGTAAATGTTATAAAGCAGATTTACATACAAGTTATCATATGGCAGCATTTTATGAATTACTGGATTTTTAAATGCTTTAAAAATAAGGTGCTGGATATCTGATGTTGCATCAGTTATGCAGTCTTAAGACTAAACTGTGGGTGAAATTCAGTAAGGTGTTAATTTATGCAAATCTTAACCCCAAATCTGATTATTTTTTAATACATTTTAAGAAAACTCCCATAAGAATTCTATCTCTTGAAATTAAATTTGAATATTAATGTTTAAGTCACTGTAAAACCAACCTGAAGGCTTTGGAACTATTGTGTGATATTCTGTTTAAGTTTCTTTCCTAAAATTAGCAAGTCTGCATTTGCACCTAAAATCCATACTTTTAAAGTGCTGGCAAACTGAAAGTTACTAGTGGTAGGCAGCACTTCTCATGTTTGGACTAACAGAGGCATATTCGGATGTAAAGCCAGGATATTTATGTTCTTATTTTTCATTGTAAATGGCTTTTAGGAATGTATATGCAAATACAAGTTAGGAAAAAGCCTTCATATTTCTGAAAATTACTGCTTGAAAATGTTCATCAGCATGTAGGTTTTAGTTATTCTTAGAATTCTAAGAATTTTGTAACCTTGAACATTTTTTTCTGCCTCACAGGCAGGCCCATAAGGCCCCCAAAGGCTGAATTCTTAGCCATCCACACAGAATTATCAGGTTGAAATTACAATAACCATCACAGCTACAAAGATGTGAGGAAAAAGTCTGTATAGAGAATTAGTCATGTGTAGTGTGTTAAAATGAGATGGTACAAGCTCTCAATGCTCAAATGTTATGGTCCAAAATGCAGACATTATGGGATGGAAGGGTTAATAAAGGATTGGCTATTAGCAGCTCAGTTTAGAGAAGTTTCTATAGAGGATATCTATTCACCTGTCGTCCTTTTGGTTGGGTAGTTGATGGCAAGTCCTGTAGAATAAAGCCAACCCAGGAGAAAAATTTTCATTTACTTTTCAAGAGTACAAGGTAATTTGTGTGTTCTGTTACAATATGGTTAAAAAAATGAGCTAGATTTAAGTTGTAAAGCGATAATATACATTATTCCATTTCTCAGAAATGTTGAGTTACCAAAATATATATATATATATATATATATA